GCACACCAGCCAGGACCTGACATAAAAGTAGACACTTGATAACTATTCATGGAACAAATGACTCTTTCATCCGGGCCCCCTCAGCACCCCACTCCTGGGCTGTCTTTCATCTGAGGCTTTTCCTCGATCTGCTTCATCTGCCTAGAAGGTTCTCTCCTCCCCTACCGCTCCTCCACTCATTGCTTCCCACTCATCTCTCTGGGATCCATGTTCGGCCCCCCTATTTAAGCGTGTTTTTCCCCCTGGGCCTCCCCAATACATAACTCTCTATCCCAGCTCTTTAAATTGCAAATTGCCAGCTAAACGGGAGAGATTATTACCAATTACCAGCTAGCCTCTCCTCTCCCTCAGACCACTACAGTGGGTTTAAGGGCAGCCACTGTCTGCCTGTCTGCCTTTCAAGCAGTCAGGAACTCTATCTCCTGCTCATTGGCAGAGCACCCTCAGGGGCCCACTGTGCTGTTTGGCTGGGGCCGCACTGGGGAGGCAAGGAGGAAACAACACACAAAGGACTCTTCCAGAGCAGGCAAGAGTACAAGGAGGTGATGAGCAAATGCTGGGCCAGGAGCATTTGTGTGCAGAGGGGGTTGGAGGTTGTTGCAGGCCTCAGTCACTCAGCCGCTCTCCCTTCACTGAGTACCTACTGTGTGCAAGGGATGCAATGGAAAGGACTCGGGGCACACAGAGATGTGGCCCTGAGTGACAGACACACCTTGGGAATCACCACCTACGTCACTGCCATGGTACTAGGTGCACAGAGAGTGCTGTGTCAGTGGTCAGCCTTCCCACTTGGAGCAGACAGACTTCCGATGCCCCTTCCCTTCCCAGAATTCCTTTGTCTTTTGTGCTGTGGGTAATCCCTCCTTTCCAGCATTTCACATAGCAGAGTTTTTCCTTTCTTTCTTTCCTTTTAGACAGGGTTTTACTGCATAGACCAGGCTGGCCTCAAACTCAGGGATCAGCCTGCCTCGCCCTCTCAAGTGCTGGGATCAAAGGCGTACACCATAACACCCAGTCTTCCTTCCTATTTGAGATATGGTCTCAGGTAGCCAGCGCTGGCTTCAAAATCACTATGTAGGGGTTGGAGAGATGGCTCAGTGGCTAAGAACAACTACTGAGTTAGGCGGGGTAGCATCTGCCTTTAACTCCTTGGAGAAGACAAGGATCTTGGAAGGTTTGAGCCTAGTCTCATCTACATAGCCAGATACAGGTCAGCCACAGCTACATTGTGAGACCTTAGTTTTTCGTTTGTTTGTTTGTTTTGTTTTTTAAAGCACTAGAGACGGAGGCAGGCAGATCTCTGTGAGTTCAAGACCAGCCAGGTCTACAGAGCAAGTTCCAGGACAGGTTCCAAAGGACACAGAGAAACCATCTCAAAAAACAAACAAAACACTGGCTGCTCTTCCAGAGTACTCCAGTTCAATTCCTGTCACCCACACAGCAGCTTACAACTGTCTGTAACTCCAGTTCCAGGGATCTAATGCCCCCTTCTGCCCTCTACAGGCACCAGACAAACAGGTAGTGCACAGACATGCATGCAGGCAAATGTGAACAACAACAACAACAAAGTCAAAATCACTATGTAGCTGAGGGTAGCCTTAAACATCTGATCCTCCTGCCTCCACCTCCCAAGTGCTGGAATTAACAGGTGTGTGCCACCATGCCTTGTTTATGGGGTGCTAGAGATGGAACCCAGAGTTTTATGTATATTAGGCAAGCACTCTACCAACAGAGTTCCATCCATATTTTTAGAGTGATAGAGGCCACTTTACTCTGTGTCCCCTGGTTGGGGGTTAAGGGCTTGTAAAAGTATACAGTACTGGGTTCCTATTCCCCCGATGAGGAAACTTGGGGCCTGCATGGAGGCCTTCGCTCTCACCCTTCTCACTCAGGTGAGAGAGTGAGCCTCGCGGCCCACTTTGCTCCTGATTGCCTACTCTGCCCATGAACACCTGGGAATTTTCTTCCTTTGCCTACTTTTTAAATGTCAGACTTCCAGGGACTCCTCCTCCTGTGCCTACAACGTCTCCAGCACCCTTCACACCCCAGGACAGACTTTCTGGTGCCCTTTGATGACCAACAGCAGCACAGAGATATGTATGTCATGGCCAGAGCTGAATTCCTCCAAGTCATCCTGCTCTGTCCACCAGGGTACCCCCCCCCGCCACCTGCACCCCCACCCCGTCCAGCTGCCTGGCACCCTCATCGCTGTCCCTGCATCGGGCACCCCAGCAACAGCCAAATCCTGGCTGGTTTTGTTTTCCAGGTTTGCCAGCTGATGTCTTCAGGCCCCCAACCCTGATCTTCTAATTGCTTCCCCTCCCCCTCCTCTTTCTAGTGAATTCAACAAAAGCTATCCAAAAAACAAGCTGGACTGTAATCAGTCCCTCAAAACCCTTCCAAGGCTCCCCACAAACATGGATCCGGACCCCTTCACTGACATGTAAGCCCGTTATGGCTGATCCCTGCCTCTGATCTTCTCCTGGAGGAGGCACTCCCAGGACAACAAGCTGCTTTCATTCCTAGCTTTCTGTACCCCCTGCCAGGAATGCCCTTGACAGACCTACTCCTCCTGACCTCCTAGACTTGACTGCCCTCAGAGAGTCAGCCCTGACCTTCCTCCTGCCCCTCCCCCACCTTTCCTGGTGCACCCTCAAGGCTTTATGGGGACTGTGTCATTGCACTCACTGCAGTGAGTTATAATGATCGATTTCCACACACAGGGCCAGGAGATCCTTGAGGGCAGGGATGGTGTCCCATTCATCTCTGCAGCCGAGGCTCTGGCCTGGTGCCTGGTACCGAGGACAGGCCCCACCAGTGGCTGATGGATGAAGGCAAAGAAAAAAGTGGAAGCAAGTGGGAGCCAGGAGTGTCCAAAAGGGGAGTGAGGGCAAGCCTGGCTGGAAGAACAGAGCAGCAAATGTGTGGGCAGTGCAAAAGCTAACCCTTCCATTTACTGCACTCCCACGATGTCCGCTAGCCATGGTGCTTGCACTGGGTTTACACATTGTGTCTTCTCTCCTTCTCTAAATGACAGATCTGAAAACTGACATCAGAGGATGGAAGTAACCTATCCAAGGTCACACAGTGTGTAGGGGTCTGGAGTGGAGTCTAAGACCGTCAGGCCTGAAAACAGCAGTCCTGCTGCTGGGCCACACTGCTGTCCTGGAGGCAGAACTTGGAATGGGCAAGGAGCGAGCCCAGCTACACCTCTGCCTAGCTGAGAGTAGGAACTAGCTGCCCACGCTCAGACTGACAACATCTTTCTCCCAGCTGGACCAGAGGCTCCAAGGCCACACAAAAATTTACCTGCTTCTTCCCCCCATCCCGCCCCCGGCTTTGGGAATCTTACACACACACACACACACACACACACACACACACACACACACCCACACACACACACACACACACACACACCCACACACACACACACACACACACACACCCACACACACACACACACACACACACACCCACACACACACACACACACACACACACACACACACACAGAGGAAAGGCCCAGGGCACCTAGGAGACTCATCCAGAGTACCTCCTTCTGCAGTCTCTCCCTCTTTGCACTTGGCCCAGGCTGATATTAAGATTCATCTGCATTCCTAGCACAACGCCTGGCAGATGGTGGGGGAGGAGGCTGGGTGTGAGCTGGGGGCTGCAGTCAGAGACCACACTGGATCTCCGAGGGGCCCCAGGAGAGAGTGGGGAGAGCCCACCAATGGCCCAGCATAGGCTGGGACCACTCCAAATGCCTCCAGTGGGTCGGAGGATGCGACCTTTTATTTTTCTCAAGACTAAATGAGTTCCAGAGAGCTAGGAAAGAGGTCCATCCATTAAGAGTGGGAGTGATGGAAGAAGGGTGGTCCTGCACCTTTGGGCATCTCTTGTCTAGGTCAGTCCTTCTTGCCCTGGAGATCTGAAGGGACCAGAGCAACCTGGGACCCCACTGGGGTGAGACCCTATTTAGCCTGGTGAGCACCTGTGTCGTAAAGAAGAGGGAGGGAAGAATGGAAGGACAGCCTCTGAGAGGTCTTGTCCATCCCATCATCCCTCCTCTGTTTCTCAGGAGGCAAACCCTTACTCCAACCCCAGAATCCAGCCTGGTCCCTAGTGGTCTCTTCAGGCCAGCGCCTCAACCAAAAGCTTCATAGTGATTGCTCTGAGGAAGAAAATGAACGGCCTTGCTAAGAAAAGGGGTGCGAGCTAGACACTTAGAAGAACTTCCTTCAGCACCCTCAAGTCTTGCAGGAACCAGCAGCTGTGATCCGCTGTTGATATCCTTGCACCCTTAAAAGGGTTTGGGCAGAATTGTCTTTCCAAATTCTAGGACTCCTAGGGGTAGGTGTAGGTAGGGCGACAGATCCCCGATGCCCGCTACAGAAAATAAGGCGCGCTGCCAGGAGGGCGAAAAAGCTGGTGTCCCCATCGGCGGTCTTCCAGCCTCTCGCCTCCTCTCCCAGAGCGAGCTCCTCCGCCCACCTTCTGTCCCCTACGCTGGAAAGTCGGCGTCCCAGGTCCCCATGCTGCGGGCCGGCAGGGGAGGAGTTAACTCCGGAG